GGAAATAATCTGGCTGACAGGACAGCTAAAGAAATCACCCTGACTTCCACGATCCTGCCCATTCTTGTTGGTCCCGGAGCAAGGGAACTGCCTAAAACTCCCCACTATAGCCCCGAGGACTTAGCCTGGATACACACTCTCCCTATGACTCAATGCCTAGAGGGCTGGTGGAGGACAATGGATGGAAAAGTTATCCTACCTCAGAATTTAGGCGTAAGATTGCTCAAGAAAATACATCGAGCATCACACATGGGCACCCAAAGGATGCAAGACTTACTAAGAAGGGTCAAAGTTAAAATTCAGGAAGGAAATCAAGCCATTGAAAAAATTGTTAGGCATTGTCATGCCTTCCAATTAACCAACTCAGCTTCGTTCCATACTAACCCAGGATCCCAGAGCAGAGGGACACGACTGGGTATGTATTGGGAGACTGATTTCACTGAGATCAAACAGGGAAAATTTGGATATAAATATTTACTAGTATTCATAGACACCTTCTCTGGATGGACTGAGGCCTACCCAACCAAGCATGAGACTGCTCATGTGGTAGCCAAGAAGCTAATTGAAGAGATCCTGCCCAGGTATGGTTTCCCAACTACAGTCTGATCAGATAATGGGCCAGCCTTTGTCTCTCAGGTAAGCCAGGGAATAGCCACTGCACTGGGGGCCAATTGGAAACTACATTGTGCTTATAGATATAGAGCCCAGAGTTCAGGACATGTAGAAAGAGTGAATAGAACTCTAAAAGAGACCTTAACCAAATTAGCTTTAGAGACTGGCGCAGAGTGGGTGGCTCTCCTCCACTTTGCCCTTTTTAGAGTAAGAAATGCTCCATACCAGATGGGTTTGACCCCCTTTGAAATCATGTATGGAAACCCCCCTCCTATGATACCTAGCCTCCAAGCTGACCTAGTATTGACCTTGGGAGACTAGGACCTACTGGACTTACTCCAATGGTTGCAGCTAACCCACCAACGGGTCTGGCCACAACTCAGAGCCATATATGAAGCTACTGTCCCCCCGCAACCTCACAGGTTTAAACCGGGCGACTGGGTCTTCATCCACAGACACCAATGGAAAAATCTCAAGCCAAGATGGAAGGGCCCCTTTGTGATCCTTTTGACGACTCCCACTGCATTGGATGGCGCCGTGGCTTGGGTGCACTACTCCCATGCAAAACCTGCTGACCCATTTGCAGTCCCAGAGGATTACAAGGGAGACATCTGGAAAGCATCCCCACACCCTTCGAATCTAGCTCCGCATCTGATGAGACCCTTCCTGCTAACCTGTCTATTGTTGACATTGAACTGCTTATCGGCTGATGGCACCTTTCCTGAGAATGGGAACCTCACGACCAGACCCCCCTTTCCTCCCTTCGGCTGCCGAGACCCCGGCCCCAGATCACGCACGTGAAGCCTCGCCATCTACGTTTGTCCAGGCCACGGACGCAGCAAACAAGTTAAGAACAAATGTGGGGGACCTGGGGATTATCATTGCACCGACTGGGGCTGTGAGACCACCGGCACATACTGGTGGAAAGGGTCATCAACCGGGGATCTAATAACCCTACAACGGGCCCCCGAATCTACCACCCTGGGATGGGGAGGGACCACTGGAGGAGGTATGGGGGGGCCCTGTGCCCAACCACAGTGCAACCTCCTCATAATTCGGTTCACTGAGAAAGGAAAACAGTCTATGGGGTGGGATGTAGGACACACATTGGGGCCTACGACTATACGCTGCAGGGAGAGACCCTGGGGCCCTCTTTACCGTTCAACTCCTCCTCCGACCGGTTGTCCATGCACTGGGACCCAACTGAGGCATAAATCCCCCCCAAGATGATTCTCATAAATCTTCTCCAGCTAAACCCCCTCCCGGACCTCCCACTGCCCAAACCTATACTCCTGAGCCAACAACTCAGGCTCTTGAGTCCTCAAGGGCAGATCCTATTCCTCCCCCTCCTGCCACTACCCCGACCCAGGAAATCCTTTTGCAGATGCTAAATTCATCTTATTACTTCCTCAATGCAACCAACCTGAATGCTACCCGCTCTTGCTGGCTCTGCTATGATGTTGCCCCCCACCCCATATTATGAGGGAACTGCTGTACAAGGAATGTTCTCCCTCGTGGATTACACAGAATGCAGATGGCTATCCAATGTTTCTCTTACCCTATCTCAGGTAACTGGCATTGGGACCTGTGTTGGCCAGGTCCCACTGACCTATACTAGCCTCTGCAACACCATCCTCCCCCTTAATGTCACAGGGAGGGGGCAGTTCCTCCTGCCTCACAATGAGACCTGGTGGGCCGGCACCACGGGACTAACAGTCTGTGTAAATCAGGAAGTCCTGCAGAGAACATCTGGTTTCTGTGTTATTATCAGACTCCTGCCTAGAATCACCTACCACACTCATGAAGATTTCTTAACCCTCTATACTAGTCTAAAAGGCCCAAGAACTACCAGCCTCACTAGACTTAGAAGGGAGCCAATAACTGCAGTAACCTTAAGTTTCCTCATTGGGACAGGGATTGCTGCTGGGATACGGACAGAAGCCACACCCCTGGCAAGACAAGATCAGCATTAGTTCCAGCTCAGAGCCAGCTTAGATTCAGATCTCCAACGAGGCGAGGAGTCAATTACTCACCTACAAGACTCCCTGATCTCGCTGGCTGAGCTAGCCCTGTAAAATCGTAGGGGATTAGACCTCCTGTTCTTACAGCAGGGTGGTCTATGTGCCGCCCTAAGAGAAGAATGCTGTTTTTATAGGGACCACTCAGGATTAATAAAGGATAACATGGACAAAATAAGAGAAGGGTTGGAACAGAGGAGACTAGAACGAGAGGCCAGACAGGGATGGTTTGAGTCCTGGTTCAACCAATCTCCCTGGTTGACAACCCTCATCTCCGCCCTCTTAGGTCCCCTTATAGTCTTATTTTTAATACTCACTTTTGGGCCCTGCATCCTCAATAGATTAGTACAGTTCATGAAGGACAGGTTAGGCACCATCCAACTTATGGTTCAGAGGCAACAAGTCTATATGCCCCTTAGCACGATCCCCCCAGATACCTGTGAGCTGGCCGACCAGAACCCATGACTGGGTTCCCCAGTTACAAGACAAGGGGGGAATATAGGACCCTGAGACCCTCTTCATTCACCCGCTACCCCGAATCCCTCCAGACCCCCACTAATTGCTCTTTTAGCTTCTGTAAAATGCTTGGGTGCTGCTTTAGACATGCCTAGACCCTGACATCCTTAGACATCCCTGACCCCTGACTGCTGTCCCCTCCACCCCTTCCAGGAAACTACAGATTAAGCAAGCCCGGGCATGAAAACTACCCTACAAGGTAAAAACGGAGACTCCTGGCCCCACAGATAACAGTCAGCACATTCCACAGCCCTGAGAATAGCACCTACCAATAAGAAACTTCCAGGGCTGCATCTTATACATCCAATCAGTTTAAAATTATGTTGGCGCGTGCAGGCTCCTTGAACCAACCAAAATGTATCTTCAGTATCCCCCTCCTCTCTTTGTCTAAAACCTATAAAAGGCTCCACTCTCCCTTACTCTGGGCTCTCAGTACGAATCCGTTGAGTTGGTGAGGTCTGAGAGCCCGAGCTTAAGCTGAAATAAACCATAAACCTTTGCTTTTGCATTTTGGTGTGTTGGGTCCTCAGTGGTCTTTTTGGGGTCCAGTGGATGAGGTACAACACAGGCAATGTGAACAGCCAAGTGTGAAGGCCCCGGGGTAGGTGTCTGCTTAGCCTGAGACAGTGAGGTGGGGAGCATGTCTGCAGGGGGGAGTCTGGAGGGCACAGACATAAGGCCAGATCCCAGAGACCTGGCAGGTAACAGGATGCTGAATCTGTACTCAATGATCCTGGAGGGTTCTGGACAGGAGAACTGCATGACCTACTTAGGTGTTAAGAGAACAACTCTGGCCATAGTGAAACATATAAAGAGGCAATGGGAAGGAAAGAGTTCATTTGAACAGTACTGTTACCATCCTATAAACAATGTCTTATCAAGACAAAGAATAAATACAAATTAAAAGTTCTATACCAGGGTTTAGCAGCAATCACATATGGGTGTAATAGGTGAAAATTTTATTTGCTCACTTCCATTCTTCTAAAACATCCAGAACTAGAATGGCTTCTTGAACGACAGCTTTTAGCAGAGAATAAAGATGACAACAGAGAGAGATGCCCGGCTTCCCACAGCAGATTCTGTCTTAGCGGAAAAACAAAAAAGAAGAATGCAGGGTGTGGTGGTTGTATTACACCTTTGCAACACAAGCACAAGAAGCTGGATCTCTGTGAGTTCGAGGCCAGCCTGTTCTGCTTAGCGAGTTCCAGGTCAGCCAGGCCTGAAGACCTTGTCTCAAAAAGGAAAAGAAAACAAAAAAGGTCCATTTTCCTTAAAAACAAAAACAACCCCCCCCCATATTTATTTATTTAGATGAGAGACATACATCAGGTTTTTTTCCTAAAGTGCTCAATCTAATGTTTCTCGAAACTTCAGATGAGAATGAGAAACACATGGGTGTACTCTAACCATGACGTCATCTGACAGAAGATGGCACCCACTGAGACACTCGAGCCTACTCTAACCATGAAGACCTAAGATGCGTGGCAGGGAAGCATTTTGCTGGGAAACAACTAAAGTCCAGGCAAATATGCTTCACTCATCTGGTTCTTCTCTAACAGACCGCTCATCCAAATCTAACAATGTGACTACAACCCTGAGAGTGTTTATGAAATCACTCTTAATTCCCAGATAACTTTATCTGCTAGGGATGGAACAGAGTCTTCAGCATGATGCACAGTTGACTTGTACTCTGCCATTGGACAACAACCCCAGCTCCTGCTCTTCTGACATAGTTTCACTATGTCCTTAGACTGGCCTTGAGCTCAACTACGTAGCCTAGGCTGCTCTCAAATTCATGATTCTCCTGTTTCCTGAGTGCTGGGGTTACAGGTGTGCACCACTACACTCAGTTTATCTGCTAATTTTCTATCCTATGATCTTCAGGTTTTTTTGTTTCTTCTGTCTTCTTTTCTTTCCATAAATTCCCAAGGATAATCCCTAAAAACAAGAGTATTCCTATTGTGCGGTTGGAAGTAAATTTGTCCCAACAGTCCTCTGATCTGTGGATGTCTAGCGTGTAAATCTGTAAGAGAAGAGCACAGTGTCATATTAGTATCTGTTCTGGACTGCAGGGCATCACAAGCAAATCATTCAGAGAGGAAGAATTTTTAGTAATAGAATCTAAGCTATGGGAATCCCTGGCTTGAATTATTTTTTTCATTGTTGTTGGTATGTAGTCTGCAGACTCAAAAATCATGATTTCCTTTCTTTTCAAATACTTGAAGGCTATGCACATCTTTAAACACTGCATTGAGGACTGGATAGAGGACCACACAAATGCAATTTAAAATATAAAGTGGGAGCTGGGTGTGGTCCCAGCACTTGGGAGGTAGAGGCAGGTAGACCGCTCTGAGATTGAGGCCAGCCTGGGTCTACATAGAGAGTTCCAGGCCAGCTAGGTCTCAAGGGAGACTGTATCCAAAAAAGTCAAAACCACCAACCAATCAACCAACCAACCAAACAAAATAATTAAATAAAAATAAAGTGGATCCACATATTTCTTATAATGCTTAGGAATGTTCATATAATTTTTCTCTCCTTTGGCACCTATTACTTTTTTTTTGTTTTTTTGTTGTTGTTTTTTTTTTTTTTTTTTTTGAGTCAGGGTCTCCCTGTGGTCCCAGCTGTCAGTTAACTTCTAGAGCAATTCAACTCAACACACAAGCTTCGGATATTGCTGAAAAACTTCCAAACACAGTAGAAGGAATTCCAGGAAAATCAAAGGAGATAATCCAAGTTTAGTTTATGCTATTTTCTGTAAAGTAACAAGGCTAATTTCTTAATATGAGAAGATGGGGTGGAGGGAGGAGCAATTCAAGGCAGTACACACCAAGGAGCTGTTTGTTTTAGGAACGTCCTTGCTTAGTTAACAGAGGTCGTTTTGTTTAAATTTTTAAAATAATTTCTACTAAGGAAAATGGGGGGATAAGGAAAAGGCCAAACCTGGTGGGCCAGATGGGCTCCGACGGCGGCCACAGCAGCATAGTAGGGGGCAGTCTGACCACTGTTGGCTCCCACCAGACTCAGTGCTCCCAGCATGGCAACCCCAAAGCCACTGAGCCACTGCTTGGTGTTCTCTCTGAACAGCAGTGCTGTAGACTTCAGACCAATCAGAGCATCATCTTTTTTGTCCTAATACCGGGAACAGGAAAGCATTTGTTAATATTTACTCAGTACTATGAAGCTCACATATTGAAGCATACAACTTAGCAGCTTTGAATATATTCGCAAGGTCATATAAGCACCACTGCTCTCTTAAGTGCAGAACACAATGTCTTTTAAAAAACATGCAGACAACACGGTCCGTGAACATGACAGTGACTCAGAAGCAGCTGATCAGCACTAGATGTGCAGACCCATCTGTCATACATACTGCTAGAATGAGCACTACATGCCATTCCACTTCCTACAACCACGTAATGACTCGGAGTTCGACTTTCATTATATTAGAGTGAAGCTTTACTCTTCACCTCTCTACCTAAAATCACAGATGCATAAAGTGCTCACCGCATAACCACATCCACCCACTTTTCACTTCCAGCCCAGCTGACTCCTCACCTCTCATCAAGCCTTGCCCTTCAATGCAGAGCTTGGCACTGAGATACTCTCCCATCTAACTGCCAGCTCTCCCTAGTAACTGTCTACTGTTATCGGCATCCTGAGGTGGCAGCAGCAGCACAGAGCTGTGCACTTACCTTCAGGCAGACACCTGACAGGCTATCTATGGAGGCCCAAATCTAAACAGTAAGCATAGGGATAGTTTCCCTATACTTAGGAAAATAATAGGGAAATCTGTTTTCATTTCAAACTTCAATGCCCTTCAGGGGCCAAGCTGTCTCGTTAAGTATACATAAAAGTTTCGATGAGTATGTGGTGCTTTATTGAAGAAGTTTAAATGCTATACATCTGTTCTAACCACTACAGGCTCTAGACCTTACTTTAAAATGTATCAGTATCTCCTAAACATGAAGTCAACTTTCACTTTGGAAACAGGCTAATTATAGATTTGCTTCTTTATGATAATACACATGCAGTAGGGTAATAGTAGAAAACATTACAATTCAGACTAAAATGTGAGAAAAAGAATTTCATTAAACTATGACACATGCAAATAATACTTTTTGCAACTGTGTAGCCCAGGCTAGACACAAACTCATGTCTCCTGGCTTCCTGAGCGCTAAAGTTACAGATGTGTACCACCATGCCTGCTGACAAAACACTGTTTTAAAAAGTTCATAAAAATATCCTCACTGCACACACACAAATAGTGACTGTGCTGATGAATGTGTCAATCATTTCACAATGCACATGTATGTCAAATCACCACTTCATACACATTGGGTATATACTATTTTTGTCAATTGTACTTCAGTAAAGCTGGGAAAAGCATAAATGTAAAGGTTATGAATGAAGAAAAGCAAAAGAGAAGTTCTAAAAACTTAAACTTATACAGAGTATGGTGGTATATACCTTTAATCCCAGAACTCCTGAGGCAGAGGCCTCTGTGAGATGGAGGCCGGCCTGGTCTACATAGCCAGTTCCAGGTCAGCTGGGGCTACAGGGAGACCTTGTCTCAAAAACAACAAAAAACCCCCTCAAAATAGAAAAATTTAAAAATAAAGGAAAGTGTTTATTACCTATACAAAAAATTAAAAATCTGTTGAAGGGCTGGAGAGCTGGCTCAACCCGCAGTTAAGAACACTGGCTGCTCTTGCAGAGGACCTGGGTTTGGTTCCCAGCACCCACATGGCAGCTAACAACTGTCCGTAATTCCAGTTCCAGGGGATTCAACACCCTCTTCTGACCTCTGCAGGCATTGCATGATACGGTATACTTACACACATGTGGGCACTCATACACATACAATAAAAATAATACATAAAATATTTTTTTAAAAGTCTATTGAATACAATGATAAGAGGCACAGAAAGAGGGGCAGGAGAGTGTGATGGCTAAAAGAACAGAATCTGGAGACCATCTATCTGGGCTTGAATCTCAGCTCAGTGAACCCATTCTCTGTGAACCATGGGTAAGTTATTTGTCTATCTGCTTTTTCATCTATGAAAAGGGGATAATAAAAGGACATTCCATGCAGGCTGTTATGGGGATTAAATTAGTATTTGTAAAGTATTTAAAGCAGTGCCTAGAATTCATTAATATTATTTAAATGCTTGTAAATGAAAGAAAATACATCAGTTGAACTCTTGGATAAACAAACATAAACATGAAACAGAAATATTTGTTGGGGCCAGGGAACTGTGACTTTCTTTTCAGAAAAAAAAGCAAAAAACAAAACCAAGAAAACTTTCCCTTTAATTTGATCCTTATTGTAAAGTTGCTTTGTATACCTGTAATCTCAGCATTCAGGAAATGGAGGCTGAAAAGAAAATCACCCCGGATATAGCAGGTTCAAGGCCAGCTCAAGCCATATGGGACCTTGTCTCAAAAAAAACCAATACCAAAACCCAAACCAAAATTAACCAACTAAACAAACAAGTTCTTAGAAAAAAACAATAGCAAAATCAAAGTCAAGAAAAAAAAATATCCTTTTTTTACCTGATGGGCATAAATAGTATCATATATCAGTGTCCACATAACTCCAGAGAAATAAAGAGGCAAGCACACCGATGGGTCACAGGAACCCTTGATAGCAGACCATCCAAGTAGTGCTCCCCAATTAAAAGTCAGCCCTACAATTGGCAAAAACACAAACAGGAGAAGTGGAATTTGTGTTAGCATTCCATAGGACAGGGGAGGTGCTGCCAGGTCAGGTCCTGGGTATGCTGTTTTCCATGTACCTTCATGAAACCAACCTTTTGTGGTATTTGTTCCATCTTACAAAAAACAAACGAGGCTCAGAAAGCTTACCCAATAATTAAGACAACATAGCTAATACTAAGAATAATATCCTCTAATAAGGTAAATAAGAAATTTGTACCTAGCACAGCCAGTAAAATGTATCTGCTGGGATCTGAATTTAGGCCTGCCTGACCTAAAACCTGTGTTCTTCCAATCTCACTCTACCTCCCCTCTGAGATATAGAAACAAGAGTGTCTACACAACACTTCTACTCTGCAAGCTCACCCTCTCTGAGGACTGTAAATATCCAAATGCTGATAGCTTCTAGATTTCTCAAGACTGATCCATCATTTCCCTAAGCTCCAGGCTAGATGTTCAACTTCACTGGACACCTCTGCCTATACATCTCCTATCACCTGAAAAAGGGTGTTCCAAGCCACTCTGCAGGAACCTTTTTCCTTCTCTTATACTGTCTATTCCCACTCAGAACAAGCCTCAGTCGAGCAAGCCCTCTCCTTTGTGGTCCCTGCGCTCAGGTCTGCCATACTGCACTTCAATGACCTGCTTAACTGCTGTCTTCCCTTCTAGCTCCATAAAACGGGTGAAAGTGTTCTAGTCATTACTACTTCTGAATACCTGGTACAATTCCTGGCACAAAGTAAAAGTAGGGGTTCAAGAAATGTCTGAAATAATTATACCAGTTTTTAAATATTAGCTTGAAGATAGTTCCTCATTCATTTCATAAATGGTCTTTCGGTTCTTTAATTGACTGGAAAAATGGTTGAAAGAACTAGAATCACTCTAGGAGTGATTTAGAATGTTCTAGAAATAGAGAAGTCTGGAAGTATTATTTCTGACCTGTCTACCTATTTACCTTCTCTACCTTCCTCTCTTTTTTACCAACAAATAATGTATTGAACATTTGCAGTGTGTCCAGTGCTATGCTGGATGCTCGGCTCTATGCAAAGAATGCTTTTCTAGACACAGTCTATTTATGGGGAGGCACAGAGCCTATAAATATGTCTTTGTCAAAGCTTCACAGAGTAAGGGCTGTTGAAGTTATCATCTTTAACCTTTGTTCTTTTGCTACATGCTTTCTACCTTACCCCCACACTCTTTAGGGCACTGAGAGCAACCATCTTTTCCTGACATGCCCAGAGTTTTACTAAAAGATTTCAGAAAAGTAATACTCATGATAATCTTAATAAATATACAAGATTTTTAGCCAATGAGAATAGCTAATCTATCTCCTTTAAAATACGACAACTTATTCTTGGTTTGGAAAACTTCACGACTGACCCAACATTTTATCTCCACCACCCCGTGCAGTATATAAAATATGATTGATAGTATCAAAGGAAATACTTAGCTATTTCAAGCTCACCCAAGGCTAACTGAGGCCAATATGTGATTCTTTTCATTAGAGGGTAGGTGATGACAAGAAGTAAGGATGCTGCTCCCAGAACTATGCTGAAAATAGAAGCAACTGGATTAGTGCCTTCAACTAAATACTTTTAAGATATTAATACTAATTACAAGATATTTTTATCTTAAATAATATTTTTGTTATTAAAATTCTTTTCCTAGGGTATGACTTTCCCTATTATAAAGGATGATTAAAGGTATTTTTTTTTTTTTTGTCTTTTTGAGACAGGGTCTCCCTGTAGCCCCAGCTACACTCACTATGTAACCCAGGCTGGCCTTGAACTCACAGAGATCCGCCTGCCTCTGCCTCCCAAGTGCTGGGATTAAAGGCGTGCGCCACCACGCCCAGCCTTAGAGGGGTATTTTTAAATGTTACAAAACAACCAAACAAATTAATAGCTTCTATACACAGTACTTTTATGTGTTAGGTGCTGTTCTAAATGCTTCAGATTCGTTAACTTATCTACGATCTTCAGAGAGGCAGGCAGTTTCAGTCTCTTTGCTTTCTGCAGACAAGGAATCTGAAGCACAAAAGACATTAAGTAGCCTGTCAGTCATCATACACTAGTTTGTAAAGGAGCCAAGACTCCAATCTTAAAGCAATCTGGCTCCAGCATCCCATCTCTTAACCACCATCTTAACCGCATCTCTTAACTGCCCCTCTAAACTGTTGCAAACCTTAAGGTGTCCATCAAACTGAGCTGCTGTGAGTGGGCAAGGGTGTATGAGTGTGGAAGATAAAGGACAACCTCAGACAACATCCCTGAGGAGCCTTTCATCTTGTTTTTTTGAGACAGTCATTGAAACCTGAGGCTTACAAATGAGGCTGGCTGGCTAGCAAGCCGGGAAACTGCCTGTCTCCACCTCCCCAGTGCTGGAATTACAAGCATACCACCATGTTGGGCTTTTTATGTGGTTGCTAAGGACTGAATTCAGGGCTCACACTTGTGCAAACCCTTTACCAATTAAGCTGTCCTCACAGAGTTCATTAGGGTCAGGAGAGTCCCTCCTTCTTACTGGGCATTACTTCTATTTTTTTGTTTGTTTCTCATTATGTAGCTCTTGCTGGCCTGAAACTTGCTATGCACACCAGGCTGGCTGGGAACTCACAAAGATGCACCTGTCTGCCTGCCTCTGCCTCCCCAGTGCTGTGATTAAAGGCATGTGCCACCACATCCAGCGGGTGTTACTTCTTAAGAAAAAGAAAGCACCCATGGAAATGTAAGATGTTCTTAGGTACCTTAAAGTTCATCTAACACTGCCCCTCCAGAAACAGCCTTCTAAAGGGGTTTTCATGCTATTAACGCTGTTGGGGCCTGACATGCAATCAAGCCTACTCTCTACACTTTTTTTTTAACTTAAAAAATATTGTACTTTTATGTGTATGAGTATATTGCCTGCATGTATGTACGTGCACCTCTGTTGTAAAATGCCTATGGAGGTAAGAAGAGGGTGTTTGATTCTCCTGGAACTGGAGTTATGGATGGTTGTGGGCCTCTATGCAGGTGCTGGGAACCAAACCTTGTTCTTCTGCAAGAGCAGCTAGTGCTCTTAACCACTAAGCCATCCCTCCAGTCCCCTCTACACTTTTAATCAAGCCTATTCTCTACAATGTAATACTTACTGGCTGACACTCCCTCCCTTTTTAATACTTTGTAAACAGACATCTGATACACTGTGTCTATTTAAGGGATACATGAACGAGCCCTCACTTTTTTTCTTCTGCTATTCTGATTAGGCATAGGCCCTGGGGAAGGCACAGTTCTTTTTGTAAAATGAGTATAACCACTTTGGTTTCTGGGTACTTCAGAGATAACTATCAGTATAAATAAAATTATACAAATACATATGGTTGTATATGCACTTGAGCCCTGAGTCCTTAAAGGAGATGCAGAGCAAATATTAAAGGTGCTTTGGGATTAATGCTGATCTCATTCCTTTGACTAAAAGTATTCTTGAAGCAGATTTCACAATGTGTTCAGTTACTTTATGCTTAATAACTTACAGATGCTTCACAAGCAGCCAATAAATAGCTTTGCAATAAAGAAAATTCTTATTCCTACTTTGTGTATTTCAAATGAGACATCTTATACATCATTATGAAAAGCATGCTTAGTATACCTGTAATAGTTCAGACACAGAAGAATGCACAGTGCCAAGGTCAACTGTCCCCCAAGAAAGAGAAAGGATTGGAAGGTTGAAATGTCTCCAGCTGCTATCGGGCGATTTGCTGTTCTTTTAACCTAAATAGGAAAACAGATACCTTAGCCTCATAAAATGACTTGGTCATTTATTTAAACATTAAATTAAGAAATGGCTCATAGGGTTGTTGAGATGGCTCAGTGAGTACAGGCGTTTGCTGCCAAGCCTCATGACTGGAGTTTGATCCCTGGGACCCACACAGAGGAAGGAGATAATCAACTCCCCAGTTGTCCTCAGACTTCCACATGCATGCTGTGGCTGGCGCACACGCACACACACGCATATACAAGTAAATAATAGCATAAATGCAACTTAGGAAATTAAAATTAAAGAGCTGGGCTCAAGGTGGACCTGTAGGCACAAATATGAATAGAGCACAATCTACATCTGAGGTACTGCCAAGAACTAAAACTGCGTATTTTTCTTTTTTCCAAATTATGTATATGAGTGTTTTTGTATGTGTGTATGTAAGCACACCTGGGCTTGAAAAAAATGTAATATTTATTTAGTGCAACTGGCCACAGATTGATTTTTCTTTTCATGAGACAGGGTTTCACTGTAGCCTAGGCAGGCTTAGAACTCAGTTCTTTAAAAAATGGTTTTTAATGTATTTATTTTTAATGCGTATGAGTGTTTTGCCTACATGTAAGTACACCATGTGCATGTAAAACTGCAGAAACCAGAAGGAGGTATTGGATCCCCTGGAATTGTAGTTATGGATGGTTGTTAGCTACCATGTGGGTGCTGAGACCCAAACCTTGTCTTCCGGAAGAGCAACCAGTGTTCCTAACCACTGAGCAATCTCTCCAGCCCCCTAAAACTAAATATTTGAAGTAGCTTTGTAAAAAGTAAAGGTTCCCAGCACTCACTCCCCTATTTCCCATCCTCCTCTCCAAACAAACAAAGCAAAGCAACTCCCTTATCTAGATCTTTAGCTATTCAGCTCATCAAATATACATGTCCCACTTCCACAGAGAAAAGAGGAACAGTGAACTTTCTCAGGAAGGAGGAACCTCAACAAGTACTGGATGAGGCTAGTGCCATGTTACGGCATGGGAAGCACTAGGTCAGAAACTGGATATGAAAAAATATTATCTGGGTTTGCAAGTGAAAGTGCTTTTGCCAGCTACTTATGAATGGGTTTGTGGGGCTGGAGAGATGGCTCAGCACTGGCTGCTCTTACAGAGGTTGGTTCCCAGCATCCACATGGCTGCTAACAACCATCTGTAACTCCAGTTTCAGGGGAATCAACACCCTCTTCTGACCTCCACAGGCACTGCATGACATGGGTGCACTTATACACAGACAAAACATTCCATACATATATAATAAGAAAAATAAATTTAAAAAAATTTTTTAAAAGAATGGATTTGTGGAATGATAGTGACTATATCAAAATGACAAGAACAAATTTACTGGGAGAATGTTGAGCACAGAGCTGCTAAACAGACAAATCAAATGGACTGATTTTTTTCTTTATGAAATGTGATTATACTAAATTCAACCACAAATAAAGAATATAACCATCTCCCCAGTCCTGAGTTTTTCTTTTAAATGAGTCAAGGGGCTGAAGAGATGGCTCAGGGGTTAAGAGCACTGGCTGCTCTTGCAGAGGACCCAGGTTCGATTCCCAGCATCAACATGGTAGCTAACAACCGTCTGTAACTCTGGTTCCAGGGTATCCAATGCCCTTTTCCGACCTCTGTGGGCATTGTATGACATAGGTGCACTTACATGCATGCAGGCAATACACTCATACACATAATAAATAAATAAAAATAATAAATAAGATATTTTTAAATGAGCCAAAATAATTTTCTTTTTAAAGAGTTTATTGGCTGAGGATGTGGCTTGGTGGTACAGTACTTGCATTTACAAAGACCTGGTTCCACCCCTTGCTCAAAGAACAAAAAATAAGAAAAGAAAAAAGATGCCACAGCATAATTCAAATTTCAGCATTCATAAAATCATAAAATTATATTAAGAAACACAGCCATAACCATTTTCTGTAGATTTGTCTCATTCCAAAAGTTTGTTAAATGTAATGACAACAATTTGGCCTGTAAAACCCTCTCTGTTCCTTCCCTGGATGAAACTACCTTTTTATCGTAGTCACGGTCCCACATGTCATTAACGGTACAGCCTGCTCCACGCATCAGAACAGCTCCAGTGCCAAAGAGGGACAGCATGTACCAGTCTGGGAAGCAACCTGGTTCAGCAGCTAAACTGATGCTCCAGGTACATGGCAAATATAGTAGCCAGGTTCCTAGGCAAAACACAAAACACAAAAAAGGTACAAAGTTAAGCTTCATTGGCTTAATCATCATATTGAAAAGAAGTAAAGAACTATAAGCAAAGTAAAAAAACACCTAACAAGCCAGGCATAGTGGCAAATGCCTGCAACTGTGACACTGGATAGGCTGAAGCAGCAGAACCAAGAGTTTAAGGTGGGCCTGTGCAACACAGCAAGACCCTGTCTAAAACAAAACAAAACAGAACAGCAACACCTCTCCCTTCCAAGCCAACAAACAAAAACGTGGGAAAATAAACCAGGAATGGTAATGTACACTTATAATCTCAGCACTCAGGGGGCAGAAACAAGAGGATAAAGTTCAAGGCCAGCCTGGTCTATGCATCGTTTCAAGTCAACCAGGACTAAGTAGTACTGAGTCTCTCTCTCTCTCTCTCTCTCTCTCTCTCTCTCTCTCAAAATAAACTTCGGAAAATTTGCAACTCATATTGTAAAGAACTATTCACCTTAATTTGTAAAAAACTTCTAGAAATAGAGAAGAAAAAGATCAGGAGTACAATTAAGAAATGGACAAAAGACAATAAAAGTTCTCAGAAAAATAAAAGCAAATGGCATTTATAACCAAGTACATACTCAAGTTTGAGAAACACATATTAAACCTGAGTTCTGAGACCATTTTTCCTATCAGATCTGCAAACCCAAAGTCTGACAACACATTCTGGAGAGTTGGTTACTCTCAAATATTTCTGAGGAAGTCACAAAATTGTCCTATGCTTATAGAGGACAACTTAAGAACTTTTATGCTGTTTTTGTGTTTCTATATACATACTCTTACATACACATATTTGAACAGTAACATATTGCACATCATGTCAGGAAGATTGCATTAGTAAGGGGTAACAACATGTGTTTCTGGGGAACCATATGGCTAGGAGACAGGAGTGGGGGTACTTCCCTTTTGCTCTATATTCCAGCCTTCTGAATTTTGCATCACATGTACATACCTACTAAAAAGGTGGTGAAAACTTCGTTGTTAGTATAGTACAGAGATGGTCTTGGGGGAGGGAGGACTGCTGCTCTGCAGTTCTCTGCTCCTTTGCACTATCTTGCAACTACTCGTACAAAGTTAGATTCATAATACTTAATCCACAAATCTGATGTATTTAAGCTAAAGGGAAGTAGATTACACAGATTAGAACTTTACTCATGAACACTAATAGATATTTTATTTCTAAAAAGGAAGTCTTTCAACTATTTGGATACTGTACCTATTAGATAAATTCTAAGGGATGCTTAAAATTTTTTTATTGTTTTGTTTGAGACAGGTCTTATTACATAGCCTAGGCTGGCTTTGAGTTCTCAGGAATACTCCTGCTTTAGCCACCTTTATTTCCTGATTTGGGGATTAAAAGGGGCCAGGTACAGTAATACACACCTGCAATCCCAGCACTTGGTAGGCAGAAGCTGGAGGACCCTGAGTTCAAGGTCAGACTGAACTACATAGTGAGACTATATCTCAAAAAAAATCAGGATCTGAGGATGTAGCTCAGTAGTAGTATTTGCCTAGCATGACCCAGGGCCCTAGGTTTGATTCTTGGCACTAAGAGAGAGAAAGAAAGGGGGTGAATGGATTCAGCAATAAAGATCAAATCCTATACAAAAATGGTCAAATAACTAAAGCCCCTATAATTTTTAAGCTTTATTTACTACAAGTATTTATGAGGCACAGACACTATGCTAAATACTGGGAATATAAATAAGGTAACTGATTTCCCCAAAGCAGGAAATACAGTTAAACAAGCAATAGCAATAAAAGACCAATGTAACAACAGAGCCAAGAACAAGGACCTAGAAAGGCATAAAACAGAATCAACCCAAGTTATTCTGGAAAGAGGTGATGAGGAATCAGGGAGGCTTTTCCAAGGAGGGGCTTAACCTGACAAAGGAGAAAAGGCAAGAAGATGCAAGATAAAATCCCTGAGAACTCTATAGGACAAATTATATATCATATATAATTGGGTGGGGGCAGTTGGAGAAGGTACAGATAGAGGAGGGGATCTAAACACTATCAAACTATATTGTATGAAAATCACAAAAATTCAATTAAAAAACAAAATCTTTGAGAAATGGGCTGGGCCTGTGACTCATGCCTTTAATCCTGGCAGAGGCAGGCAGATCTCTGTGAGTTCCAGGCCAGGGAGAGCTACTGCAGTCTCATATTTACTGGGCCTCACCTGAATCATTAACTAATCTAGCTAGCATTTACTGAATGTTCACGGAATGTCAGGCAGCGTTCTAAATACTTTATATTTATAAACTCATCCAATCCTCAACACCCTTATAAAGAAGTTCTCTTGATGGCCCTCTTATCTTACCAATGTAGAAACATAAAGAGACAGGGGGCAAGTAAAACAACAGTATCCATTACTTTCTTTAGGCAGGAGCCACCAGCAGAACTCACAAAAAACCACAGGAACAGTTAATACTGTCCTCCTAAGTTAGAGAAGAAAAAAAAAAATACCACTTCAGTTACCATTTACTTGGTGCAATTAAGAGTGGAAGCTTCCACTAAAAAGAATTCAATAGGATGTGAACAGAAATGTTTATTATGACAGGAAAAAAACTCTGGGAGAGGAAATAAAATGATCAAATTCTGAAAGAGATGGGCAGAACAAACAGCCTGTATAAATTGAGTCAATTACAGATTTTCCTTTAGACAACACAATCATCCATAAACATAGTAAAACAAATTACAGTGCCAATTTAGTGGAAAGAGTGCCACCTGTTGAAACTTCCTGAAATCATGTAGCTGATTACCTACTCTAGTTGTGAGCTGGTGATACAGTCCAGTGGTGTAGAGCTTGCCTCATGTGCAAGCCATGAGCTCCTCCCCCAGC